CGTAGCAGCAGCAGCAGCAGCAGCAGCAGCAGCAGCAGCAGCAGTAGTAGTAGTAGTAGTAGTAGTAGTAGTAGTAGTAGTAGTTGTAGTAATAGTAGGACTAGTAGTAGTAGTAGTAGTAGTAGTAGTAGTAGTAGTTGTAGTCGTTGTCGTCGTCGTCGTCGTCGTAGTAGTAGCAGTAGTAGTAGTAGTAGTAGTAGTAGTCGTAGTAGTAGTAGTAGTAGTAGGTAGTAGTAGTAGTCGTCGTCGTCGTAGTAGTAGTAGTAGTAGTTGTTGTTGCTGTTGTTGTTGTTGTTGTTGTTGTTGTTGTTGTTGCTGCTGCTGTTGTTGTTGTTGTTGTTGTTGTTATTGTTGTCGTTGTTGATGTTGTTTTTGTTGTTCTTGTGGTTGTTTTGTTTTGTTTTGTATTTTTTGTTGTTTTTGCGTTTGGTTGGTTTGTTTTGTGCTTTTGCTTACTCTCTAACTAAGCTCTCTTGTTGTTATCTGCGTTTTTGGTCTGTCATAGTGTACATCTATATCTGTACATATGTATATAATACCTAATTCTCAAACTAGGCTTGCCCTACAGGAGTCCTGGCTCAAACCCTGCTAATTGGTCCGTTGCCCCCCTAATTCCTATGCCCCCCCTTAATTTCTATGCCTATGCCTATGCCTATGCCTCCCCCTAACTTCTATGCTTACGCCTATGCCTATGCCTATGCCTGCCTGCCTGCCTGCTTGCTTGCTTGCTTGCTTGCTTGCTTGCTTGCGCGCTTTCTTGCACGCTTGCTTGCTTGCTGAGTTGCGGATTTGCTAAGCATGCTTGATTCCTCGGACTCCTCGATTTGAGTCGCCTCATCGACTTGGGGTTCACGCGGGCTGATCTCCTCTACCTCCTCCTCCTCCTCCTCCTCCTCCTCCTCTAGTCATTACGTTTTTTTTGTGTTTTTTTTTTCTCGCAGCGTCGGACCTCAGGGAAGAGAGGCGGCGGCTCCCGGGGCGCCGCTCGGCGCGCCGGCGGGCGGGCCCCGAGGAGCGCGGGGCGGCGGCGGGGCGGCGCGCCGCCCCGACGACGACGGCGACGGCGACGACGGCGACGACGACGACGACGACGACGACGACGGCGACGACGACGGCGACGACGACGGCGACGACGGCGACGACGACGGCGACGACGACGGCGACGACGGCGACGACGACGCTCGGCGACGGCGACGACGACGGCGACGACGACGACGACGACGACGACGACGACGACGTGGCGCGCAGCCCCGAGATCAGCCGAGCAGTTCTTTGTTTCAGTCTCCAGCTCATTGGAGGTCGCGACCGCTCCCCTGGGGGCAGGCTGCTCGTCCTGGGGGCACTTTCCCAGACCGCGTCGCGCGTTGTGAAGAAGTCACGGCGGGAGGGTTTTCGTTGTCTTCGGCCTCTCTGGGCCCTTACCAGCCCTCGGGAGCGTCAAACAGCGACCCGGACTGAGAAACCTGTCCGGGGGAAGGGTCCAGACTTCCGGGGGCCGAGGGTATTAAAGAATCACGACTTCGGGGGTCTGGAGGGGGTAGGTTGCTCGTCCCAGGGGCACTTTTGCTGATTGGCCAATCGTGTCCACCACCACTGCCAGAGGTAGGACGGAGGGGAAGGGAGGATGGGGAGGACCTCCTCCTCTTCCTCCTCCTCCTCCTCTTTTTCCTCCTCCTCCCCTCCTCCTCCTCCTCCTCCTCCTTCTCCTCCTCCTCCTCCTCCTCCTCCTACCCTTCCCCTTCCAATGGTAGGGGTGTTGGAAAATCGGCCCATCCCGTTTGGCGTTTCATGGGGACCCGAGGACCCCCCCCAGAGGCCGAAGCCGATCAGGCCGGGATGGAAGACGTCACATCGACGGAGACCTGGGAGGTCGGTGACACGGAAGACCCAGACCCCCTTCAGTCATGACAATCACGACGGGAGACCTCTGGGGGCGCTTCCCAGGCCTAGGGGGCGTCAGAAGTCGACTCGAGATGAGAAGCCCGTCCTGGGGAATGGGTCGAGACCTCTGGGGGTCGACGTTACGGAAAAATCATGACGTCGGGGGGCTGGGGAGGACTTTCGCGGGAGGGACCTGTGGTGCGGGCACACCTGGGGTCCCCAGAGGACCGACTCAGATGCGATAGCAGCGGCTTTGCGCTCTGGCTTGGCACCCTCGCGCCCCCCATTACGCCGCCGCACCAGCAGGCCCCGCGAGGACGACGACGACGCCGACGCCGACGCAGACGCCGACGCCGATGCTGACGCCGACGCCGACGCCGACGCCGACGACGACGACGCCGATGCCGACGCCGACGCCACCGCCAAACGCCGAGGCCGACGAGACGACGCCGCCGACGACGACGACGCTGCCGCCGCCGCCGCAACCACCACCGCCGCCGCCACCGCCGCCGCCGCCGACGACGACAACGACGACGACGACGACGGTACTCGGCGACGGCGACGACGACGACGAGCCTTCTAGCGGGGCCCTCTTGCATGCAGCCGAGGTCTCGACACACCCCCGGGGACCCGTTTCTCATCCCGAGTCGTTTTTGACGGTCCCGAGGCCCGGTAAGGGCTCCAAGGGGCCGAACACAGCGAGCAATTTCCCGTCGTGATTTCTTCGTGACTCCAGCATATTCAAAAAATTGTCAAAAATAGTTGGTGGACGATTGGTGGACTATTTCTTAGTATTTTTCTTTCACATGTTCTGAGTATTTGTTTGGTATGTTTTATTTTTCGTCCAAAATCCACCTGTAGGGGGACACGCCCGACCTAACCCTACTCCCTCAGCGCGCCGCGCGCGCACCATATGCCACTCGTTGCCCACAGGGACCACTCCTTGCTTATAGGGCCAACTCCTTGCGTGTAGCCGAGGAGAGCTACGACGACGACGACGGCGCTCGGCCAAATAAATAGGATGTCTGCTAAAAATACTCCGACGTCGAATCCTCGCTCGTCCACACTTCGTGGTTTCAACTCCTGCCCAGGGCCATTCCCTTGCGTGTAGCCGCGGAGGGCTACGACGACGACGACGGCGCTTGGCCAAATCAGTAGGATGTCCGCTAAAAATGCTCCTATGGCAAATCCTCGCTCGTCCACACTTGGTGGTCTCAACTCTTGCCCAGGGCCCCTCCCTGTGTGTACCCAGACCCCCGACGTCGTATTTTTTTCGCAACCTCGAGCCCCCGGAAGCTGGACCCCTTCCCCGGGACCGGCTTCTCATCCCAAGTTGCTTGTAGACGCTCCCGAGGGGCGGTAAGGGCCTGGTCTTTAATACAAACCAGTTTTTGAATTCAAGAAACCTGTGCTAGGATACTGGTTTCTGAATTCAGAAACATTTTTCGTTTCTTTAGAAGATCCGAAACCAGTGTTTTTTGTATTAAAAACCAGTCTTCTGAATTCAAACACTTGTTCTTCGAATTCTAGACGCTTCGCGTATCCCCACCAGCCCGTCCAGAAACGACGCCCAGGCGAGTAGAGGGTCGTCGTGAGGGGCTTTTCGGCGTCTTGGGTGCCTCGGGGGGGCCTCTGTGGGCCGTTCGGGATCCTCTTTGGGGCCTCCCGGGGGCCTCTTGGGGCCTCTTGGGGCCATCTTGGGGCCTTTGGGGGCCTCGTGGGCGCTTCTTGGGGCCATCTTTGCCCCCTCAGGAGGCCAAAATTATCGCCGAGGCCTCTGGGAGCACCTTGGGTGCCTCTGGGGGGTCTCTTGGGGCCTCTTGGGGGTCTCTTGGGGGCCTCCTGGGGGCCTCTTGGCGGGCCTCTTGGGGCCATTTTGGGGCCATCCTGCGGCCTCTTAGGGCATCCTGGGGGCCTCTTGCGGCCATCGTGGAGGAAATCGATCAAAGAAGAGGGGAGCTTTAATTAGCCCTGCCCCCTCAGAAGGCCAAACTGGGGCCAAAACCATGGTAAAATCAATGATTTTGGCTTCCTCGCCGAGGCCGTTTTGGACGCTCTGACTGCTCCCCGCCCCTCCTGTCCAGGTCAGTGGGGAGGGGGTAGGGGGAGGGGTAAACCCCTCCCCGAAGGGGAAGAGGGAGAGGTGGAAGAGGAAACGCCCTAAACCACCGACGCCCAGAGGGCTGGTGGGATTCAAAAACGAGAGGCCGAAGATAACGAAAACCCTCCCGTCGTGACCTTTTCACGTCGCGACGGGGTCTGGAAAAGTGCCCGTCTCGGGGAGGCGACCAGGACCTACACGGGGCTGGGGACTGCAACAAAAAAACAGCTCGGCAGATCTCGGGGCTGCGCGCCACGTCGTCGTTGTCGTCGTCGTCGTCGTCGTCGTTGTCGTCGTCGTCGTCGTCGTCGTCGTCGTCGTCGTCGTCGTCGTCGTCGTTGTCGTCGTTGTCGGGGAGGAGGAGGAGGAGGAGGAGGAGGAGGAGGAGGAGGAGGAGGAGGAGGAGGAGGAGGAGGAGGAGGAAGGAGGGAGGAGGAGGAGGATGAGGATGAGGAGGAGAGGAAGTAGAGGAGGAGGAGGAGGAGGCGGAGGAGGAGGAGGGAGGAGGAGGAGGAGGAGGAGGAGGAGGTAGGAGGAAGGAGGGGGAGGGAGGAGGGGGAGGAGAAGAGGAGAAGGATGCGGAGGTGGAGGAGGAGGAGGAGGAGGAGGAGGGAGGAGGAGAAGGAGGAGGAGGAGGAGGAGGAGGAGGAGGAGGAGGACGAGGAGGAGGTGGAGGAGCAGGAGGAGAAGGAGGAGGGCTAGGAGGGCCGCTTCCTGCGCTCATAGCCGAGGAGGGGCCGCCGCGGCGGCAGTGGGCCCAGCGGCGGGCGGCGGGCCGGCGCCTGCCCCGCCTGGACGGCGGGGCGCCGAGCAGCGGGCGTCGCTGCCGAGCTGCGGCGAGGCCGCCGCCGAGGCGCCCTTCGGCGCCACCCCAACATGCTCATATCAAGTCGGGCGTGTCTGCAGGAGGAGCAGTCAAACATAACCAACAAGAGCCAAACCATAAAATTATGGATCGAAGAAGAAGAAGAAACAAACGCCATAAGCATAACCTCTTGGCGCTCCGCGCGGATTTCTTGGATCCGCGCTGGACCCCCCTGCCTAACGCGCGGAGCGCGCCAGGGGCGGCGCCAGCGTCGGCGATGCCGACCGGGGGGGGGGGGCGACGCGTCATCCCCCCAGTCGGTGTTATTCAGCATACTACTGTATCAAGTCGGGCGTGTCCCTCTACAGGAGGGATGTTCAAAAATCGTCCAAAATAGCCAGGGGACGATTTCCCGACTATCTTTTCGATTATTTTTGAGCATTTAAAAGATCATTTTTCCGTCAAGTTCCGCCTGTAGGAGGACATGCCCGACCTAAGACTAATACCATGTACGCGTCGCTCCCCCTGGGGGCGACGCGCGCACCGAGAAACATCTTGTAATACTGTGCGTCGGGGCGGGCGCTTTCTGGCCACGCAGCTCGGGAAACGATGTGCTACACAAGATGGGTCTACTGTGTGCTCGGGTCGGACGCGCGCGCCTCCAAGGCGGACAACACCGTACCAGGGCATGTCTTTGGGCGTCCCAGCCGTGGCCCCCCCCCCGAGGGCCTCAGAGGTCCAACTTCCCAGACTCGGCGGCGAGCCCGGGAGGGGAGAGAGAAAGACCCGGACCCCTTCGCGCCGTGACAGAACAAATCACGACGGGAGGCTCCTCGCTACTGTTTGGACCTCCCTGCTGGGCCCCCTGCTGGGCCCAGGGGCCGTGAAAAAACGACTCGGGAGGAGAAACTGGTCCTGGGGGAGGGGTCGAGGAGGAAGAGGAGGAGGAGGAGGAGGAGGAGGGGGGGGAGGAGGAGGGAGGAGGAGGGAGGAGGAGGGAGGAGGAGGGAGGAGGAGGAGGAGGAGGATTTTTTCACTGTCAGACCTCTGGGGGTCGACGTTGTGACAGAACACCACGGCGTCGGGGGTCTGGGGAGAAGGCCTCTTCAGAAGGCTCGGAAGTCCCCCGGCCTTCCGAGAAGTTTTCTGAGGCTTCCCCGAAGGCACGACCATGTTTCAGACGGCCGGAAGGCTTCTGAGAAGGCCCTCCGCCTTCTGAGAAGGCCTTCTCCTTCTCACTTCCCCCCCTCGCCCGCCGCCGCCAGACCCCCTCGGGTCGTGAGAAAATCACGACGGGAGGCTCCTCAGAGCCCCCAGAGCGCAAAGCGACTCGGGGGGCGCGAAGATCTTTGGGCAGAGGCCCTTCGGCCCCTCTTCGCTTCCTGGCCTTGTCGCTTCCAGGCGTTGCCCGGGGTCTCCGTGGCCTGTCCCAGACCCCCCCGACGTCATGTTTTTTTTTCGCAGCGTCAGCCCCCAGAGGCCTGGACGCCCTCCCTGGGGCCAGTGTCTCATCCCGAGTGTTGTTCGACGGTCCCGGGGCCCGGCAAGGGCCCCCAGGAGGCCGAAGTTAGCGAACCAGAACCTCCCGTCGTGATGTTTTTTCCTGCAGCGCGAGGGTTTCTGGGGCCGCCGCTGGTCAGCGGGCGGTTCCTCGCAGGGCCTTGGGTGCTGCAGAGCAGCAGGCGGCTGTCGCATGGCTTGTTGCTGCCAGCCAGCGGCCGGTTCTGCTGCACGGGGCGTGAGGAAAGATCACGACGGGCGTTTTTTCGCTGCAGCGTCGTTCCCTGGGGGTGCTTGCGCGGAAGCTGGAGCAGATACTGCAGCCGGGCATGTCCATCTACAGGAGGAATATTCGAGGATAGTCAAAAATAGTAGGGGACGATTTTTTTGAGTGGTTTTATTTTGATTTTTGTTTTGTTTTGTTAATTTTCACTTTTCCTGCAAACTCCGCCTGTAGGGGGACATGCCCCACCTAAGTATAGGTTCGTCCCCTGGTGGTCCTTGCTCGGGAACTGGAGCAGATACACTGCCAGCGGCCGGCTGTTTTTCAATTCCAGGACTTTTTGAGGGTCGGGGGCGACGTCTGGGTGGTGTGGTGTGTACTTTTTTCCCCCGTTTTCCGGGGGAGCAACGGAACATGTGTACACCAGGATCCCGTATACACCAGGATCCGCTTTCCTGTTTGCATGTTTGGAGTGCAGGGCCAGACAACGCGTCGGTGTATATATAGAGTTCGGCTCCCTACTTGCCGGGCCTCGGGAGCGTCAGGAGACGACTCGGGATGAGAAGCATGTCCCGGGGAAGGGGTCGAGACCTCCAGAAATCGGGGAAGGGGTCGAGACCTCTTGCGAGACAATCACGACGGCGGGGGTCTGGGGTGGCCCTCGCCTCGCTCGTCCTTCGGGCCCTGTGGCGGTCCCCGCTCGTCCCTGCGCCGAGCGTTCGGGAGCCATGGCGTTGGACCCTACTTTAGCAGACCCCCGACGTCACCAGACCCCCGACGTCGTGATCTTTTCGCGGCGTCCACCCCCAGAGGTCTGGACCTCTTCTCCAGGACGGGCTTTTCATCCCGAGTCGTTTCTGACGGTCCCTGGGCCCGGGAAGGGACCCCGGAGGCTGAAAATCGCGAATGACCTCCTGAAAATCGCGAATGACCTCCCGTCGTGATTTTTTCACAGCGCGAGGGGGTCTGGCTTATGCGGAAAAAGTCGTGACGTCGGGAGTTTGGGTCCCCGGGAAGTCTGGAGAACTTCACCCTTGCCAACCGCGGGGCCTCCCTCGCGTTCCCCCCCCGCCCCAATTCCTCGTCTCCCTCCTCCTCTCTCCTCCTCCTCCTCCTCTCCTTCTCCTCCTCCCCCTCCTCCCTCCTCCCCCTCCTCCCCCTCCTCCTCCTCCTCCTCCCTCTCCCCCCTCCTTCTCCTCCTCCTCCTCCGCCTCCTCCTCCTCCTCCTCTCCTCCTCCTCCTCCTGCCTCCTCCTCCTCCTCGTCCCTCCTCCTCCTCCTCCTCTTCCCCCTCCTCCTCCTCCTCCTCGTCCTCCTCCTCCTCCTCGTCCTCCTCCTCCTCCATTATTCCTCCTCCTCCCCCAGGGCCAGGGGCCCAATTTCCCAGGGTCGGCTCTTCTTCCAGAGTTGCCCTCGAATGGTCCTGGGGCCCGCTGTGGGCTCCTGGAGGCTGAGAAAGAGCCCAAAGCCGGTCGCTCCATCGTTTCGGGGCCTAGGCGAGGCGCTCGGTGGCGACGACGACGACAATTACGACTGCGACGACGGACAACGAAGACCATGCTCGGCGACGACGACGACGACGCCGCTCGACGACGACGCCGCTCGACGACGACGACGACTACGCTGGACGACGACGACGACGCTCGCCAACGACGACGACGCTCGCCGACCACGCTCGGTGACGACGACGACGACGCTCGGCGGCGACGACGACGTCGACGCTCGACGACGACGGCGACGCTCGACGACGCTCGACGACGACGACGACGCTTGGCGACGACGACGACGACGCTCGACGGCGACGGTGACGACGACGCTCGACGACGTCTGACGACGACGACGCTTGACGACGACGACGATGACGCTGGACGACGACGACGACGCTCGGCGAGGACGACGCTCGGCAACGGCGACGACGACGACTGCGACGACGACGACGACGACGACGGCGATGCTCAGCGACGACGACAACGACGACGCTCGGCGACGACGACGGCGACGGTGACGACGGCGGCGGTGACGACGACGACGCTCGGCGACGACGACGACCACGCTCGACGACGGCGACGCTCGACGACGACGTCGTCGACGACGACGGCGACGATGCTCGACGACGACGACGGCGACGGCGACGACGACAACGACGCTCGGCGACGACGACGACGACGGCGACGGCGACGACGACGACGACGACGACGACGATGCCGACGATGACGCTCGACGACGACGATGTCGCCGACGACGACGGCGACGACGACGACGCTCGGCGAGGGCGACGACGACGACGACGCTCGGCGACGACGACGGCGGCGTTTGACGACGACGACGACAACGACGACGACGACGGCGATGGTGACGACGCTGGGCGACGACGACGCTCGACGACGATGACGACGACGCTCGGTGACAGCGACGACGACGACGACGATGGCGACGGCGACGGCGACGACGACGACGACGACTACGCTTGGCGACGACGACAACGACGACGACGGCGACGGCGACCACGCTGGGCGACAACGACGCTCGACGACGATGCCGACGACGCTCGGCGACGACGACGACGGCGACGAAGGCGACGACGACGCTCGAGGACGATGACGACGACGATGCTCGACGAAGGCGATGACGACTACGACGACGAAGACTCGCGACGACGACGGCGACGACGACGCCGACCACGACGACGCCGACAGTGACGACGACGACGTCGTCGGCAACGGCGATGACGACGCTCGACGACGCTCGACGACGACGACGTCGACGACGGCTTCGACGACGACGACGCTGGACGACGACGACGACGCTCGGCGACGACGACGTCGCTCGGCGACGACGACGACGCTCGGCGACGGCGACGAAGGCGACGACGACGACGACGCTCGACTGCGACGACGACAACGACGACGACGCCATCGACGACGACGACGACGACGGCGACGTCGACGACGACGACGAAGACGACGACGACGACGACGACGACGCTCGACTTCGACCACGACGCTCGACGACGACGACGACGCTCGGCGACGACGGCGACGACGACGACGCTCGGCGACGGCGACGACGACGCCCGGCGATGACGCCCGGCGACGACGACGCCGACGACGACGACGGCGACGACGACGACGCTCGGCGACGACGACGCTCGGGGCGACGACGACGCTCGGCGACGACGGCGACGACGACGACGCTCGGCGACGGCGACGACGACGCCCGACGACGACGACGCCCGACGACGACGACGCTCGGCGACGGCGACCACGACGCCCGACGACGACGACGACGCTCGGCGACGACGACGATGGCGACGACGAAGACGACGATGACGACGACGACGACGCTCGACTTCGACCACGACGCTCGACGACGACGACGACGCTCGGCGACGACAACGCTCGGCGACGACGACGCTCGGCGACGGCGACGACGACGCTCGGCGACGACGGCGACGACGACGGCGACGACGACGACGACGCTCGGCGACGGCGACGACGACGCCCGACCCCGGCGACGCCCGACGACGACGACGCTCGGCGACGGCGACCACGACGCCCGACGACGACGACGACGCTCGGCGACGACGACGATGGCGACGACGAAGACGACGATGACGACGACGACGACGCTCGACTTCGACCACGACGCTCGACGACGACGACGACGCTCGGCGGCGACGACGACGACGCTCGGCGACGGCGACGCTCGGCGACGACGGCGACGACGACTCTCGGCGACGGCGACGACGACGCCCGGCGACGACGCCCGGCGACCACGACGCCGACGACGACGACGGCGACGACGACGACGCTCGGCGACGACGGCGACGACGACGCTCGGCGAGGCGGCCGTCGGGGCCGCGGCCTGCGGGGCGCCGCCCAGCAGGGGGCCCTGCCGGGAGGCGTGGCCGCGCAGCCTGTCCGTGGAGGGCTGCGCGCACCCGGCGTTTGGGCCCGCGCTGCGCGGCGCCTACGCGCTGGGGGCCGAGAACCACGGGCGGCCAGTGTACAGGAAGCTCGACGACGACGACGACGACGACGACGACGGCGACGGCCACGGCGACGGCCACGGCGACGGCGCTTTTAGCGACGACGACGACGACGACGACGGGGCCGAGAACCGCGGGCGGCCGGTGTGCAGGAAGCTCGGAGACCAGTCCGCCGCGCGTCATGGAAAGAGTCGTGACGGGAGGTTTTTCGATATTTTCGGCCTTTTGGAGGCCCTCGCCCGGCCCCGGGGCCGTCGAAGAGCGACTCAGGAAGCGAAGCGTTCCCCCTTTGCGCGGCCGCCCGGCTCCGTGCGTGCGTGGCTTTTTCGCAAAAAAATGATCAAGGATGCTCCTCGATGGCCCTCGCCGAGGAAAAAAACGCACACGTCCGAGCCATGCCAGGCGTCGGAGAGGCAGGCGCGCCAGGGCCGAGCGGGCTCCAGGCAGGAGCTGCCGCGCCGGACAGTTTGCCTATCGGTTGCCCCGATTAGACCCGCGCTGGTGCGGATTGCCTTTGCCTCGCCGCCGACGAAAAAATGTGTGCAGGAAGCTGTGCGGCGTGCCCTTCTTTCAGAGGAGGAAGAGGTATAGCTACCCTCGCCTCGTTTTCGCCTTTTTGAGCCTCCTGGGAGGCCCTCGTCGCCACGGCTGGATTCGTTTCAAGATTCTGGTCAGAACGCACCCCGGCAGAGGTCTGGGGAAGAAAGGCGAGGGAGACGAGTAAGACGCATGCGTGCGTAGTAGCAATAAGTCTTTATCTATATTTTTAGTAGCCATGACAATATGCATGAGAATCCTGTTAGCCAGTGCGGACCCCAAGCAATGCGTTTCTAGCAACACGTGGTGTGCACAACGTGGATCAGTTTATGGTTTGCAATGAGTGTGATGCAATCTATGTTGTACACTATGTTGTAGCATATCGGTGGTGCCATCTCTATGGTGTAATATTTGTGTATCATTTTAAATGGTGCAGTACATGTGGAACAATGTATGTGGTGCAGTCTATGCTGTGCTATCCATGCTGTGCAGTATTGGTGGTGCAACAAATGTGGTGCAGTTTGTACTCTGCAAGCTATGTGGTGCAATCGATGTGGTGCAATCTATGTGGTGGAATTCATGTCTGTTCGCAATGAGCTGTCAACTCCACTGCTCGCGCAAACATCTCACCCACCTGCAACTTCGTTTGCAAGACCCATACGGCGGCGACTGCGATGAGTGCTTGGCGCTGGCTGGTGCGTCTCTGCGGCCGCGCTAGCCCGCGCATGCTCGCGCAGGAAGCGGCCAGCTAGTTTGGCGCGACCGCCGCGACCGCTGTGGCGCTGACCGCTGGGCATTTCCCAGCGGGGCTTTCAGTGCGAGTCGGCGACTTGGGCTGGCGCAGCATCATGGCAACGTCGACAACGGTGGACACGATGATGATGGTTGCGATGCTGGCGACGATGATGACAACGACGATGGCAAGGCCAGTGACGGCGCCGTTGCTGGTCACGCCGACGAGGATTGACGGCGTGTTCTCGTCGGTCGTGAAGGTTTTGGAAGGAGTTCGACATGCGCGCGCGGCCGATGCGCGAGAATTCCCCGCATTGTACCAGTTGATACGGATCGTGCCCCCCCCCAGCACGCGCGCTAGGGCGATCAAATGATTTCGACATGCGTCGCGAGAGGCCCGTCTGGCCATTAAAGAGCAGGTCGAACAACAAATGGTCTGCTTAAGGATCGCACAGCGCGAGCGCAGGGATTTTTGAAAACTGATGCCGTGAAACTTGTCTTTTTGTATGGTTTCTGGGACGCTCGGTTCCGAAACCTTCACGACACCTAAGATTTGTTTAAACTATTTCCGCACGCGCACGCGACGATGCGCTCGTGTGCATTTCGTCTCGTTTTTTTGCAAGGGATTCTTGCGACAGCACGGGCGTAATGGCGTTCAAATGATTTCGACAAGCGCGCGAGAGGCCCGTTTGGTAGCACTTCGTGCAATGTTACAGGGCCTATGGTTTACTCAAAGATTCGCAACAGCGAACGCATATTTTTTGCCTGGGAATTGCTGTTGCGAAGCCATGTGGTTTCATATGTTTCGGGACACTCGATTTTGAAGTCCCCACGCAGCCTGCGATGCTTGAGGATTTTCGACATCCGCGCGCGACGACGCGCGCGTGTGCACCTCGTTCCATATGTCGCAAGGGGTTCATGGAAAACGGATGGTTTTGATAAGCGAGTGTTCGCGCATAGTTTTTTTGCAGAGGATGAGGGGGGGAATGCCAATTTAACGGGGATATGATGAGTTCAAACCTAGGATGGGCGATGAGGCAACATCATAAATACATTGCAATGCGAAGGGGGCACCGTTAAGTCCCAGGGGAGGGGAAGTAGATCCTCTGTTTCTTTTGGAGGGGGAGAGAAGCATCGATGTGGTTCATTGAATTTCTGTTTGCAGTGGGATGTCAACTCCACTGCTCGCGCAATCATCCCGCCCACCCGCCCGCATCTTGGTTTGCAAAGCCCATGGTGCGGCGATCGCGATGAGTGTTTGGTGTTGGCTGGTGAATCCTTGCGGCCGCCCTAGCCCGCGCATGCTCGCGCAGGAAGCGGCCAGCTAGTTTGGCGCGACCGCCGCGGCCGCTGTGGCGCTGACCGCTGGGCACTTCCCTGCGGGCACTTCAGTGCGATTCGGCGACTTGGGCGGCGCAGTCTCATGGCAACGTCGACAACGGTGGACACGATGATGATGGTAGCGATGCTGGCGACGATGATGACAACGACGACGGCAAGGCCAGTGACGGCGCCGATGCTGATCACGCCGACGACGGTGACGGCGTCCCCGCGTCGATGATGAAGGTTTTGGAAGGAGGTCGACATGCGCGCGCGGCCGACGCGCGAGAGTGGCCCGCATTGGACCAGTTGATACGGATCGTGCCCCCCGGCACGCGCGCAAGGGCGTTCGAATGATTCCGACATGCGTCGCGAGGGCCCGTTTCCTTGAGAATTCGCGTGAGCGCGAGTGCAGGCCTTTTTGAACACTGATGTTTTCAGGACGCTCGACATTGAAATCCTTGCGGGGCCAGAAAGGTTTTTGAAGGATTCCGGCATGCGCGCGCGACGACGCGTGGGCGTGCACTTCGCGCGCGCAAGGGGTTTCGACTGGTTTCGATATATGCGCGCGAGAGGCACGTTTGGTCATTCCTTTTAAGAACATGTTCCCGGAAACGGGCGTCGGCCAAGGGTTCCCCTTTAGTTGGTAAGCTTGTCCCTGGAGCCATGCTTGCACAGGGCCGGCAAATTAGTTTGCGATAGACAACAAGGTAAAAGACTACTCGGCGTGGAAAAAATGCGTTTCGCGGGTGCCCGTTCGAGGAAAGTGCGCCCCCCATTTCGGATCCTCGTTGCCTAATGGGGTCCGCAGACCCCCAGTTTCCATTGTTCTGCGCAGAATCCATATGAAGTAACGAGATATGGAGCTCCGACCGGGACACGAAACATGTGAAACAAACCACCTTTTGGTTGCCCGTTCGAGGATGGCGCGTTCCGCGCGCAGGAATTTCGAGGATGTCTCGAGTCCCGCATTTGTTTTGTAGAAGGAAGGTTGGCTTTATGCGTGCCCGCTCCAAGATGGCGCACCCTGCGTGCCGAATCTCTGAGGATGTCTCCAGCGAAACGCTTGTTTTGCAGCGTTTGGAAGGCTTGGGCGCTCCAGGATGCCCAGGTGGTTCTGGGACATCGGTCGGTCGGACCGTTATTTACGAAGGATCGTGGCCCTGGGAGCGCAGATGGCGCGTAATTTGCGAAGGATCCTGGCCCTGGGAGCGCGGACGCAGCGTAATTGACGAGGGATTTTGGCCTTGGAGGCGCGAGCCCAGCGTAATTCACTAGGGATCGTGGCCCTGGGAGCGTGGACACTGCGTCATTCACGAGGGAGCGCGGCCCTGGGAGCGCGGACGCAGCGTCGTTTACAAAGGATCGTGGCCCAGGGGGAGTGGACGCAGCGTAATTTACGAGGGGTTGAGCGAAACGCTTGTTTTCACGTGTCCAGGTCGCCCAGGCGGATGTCTAGCATGAGGATTTGGGCAGGATCTCTCGAGCGAAACGCTTGTCCCCAGCACGTTCCGTAGCGCGTCCCCTTGGCACGTCCCGCGATGCGTCCCCATGGCACGTCCCCTGGCACGTCGCCTGGCGCGTCCCTTGGGACGTTCCGCGGCGCGTCCTCCTGGCATGTCCCCGTGTCAATTTGCTCTGGGGCAGCTACTAAGTGCTCAGGCAGCTCGAGCTTAAGATCCAGATCAGTTCGGTCAGGACTCGGATGCAAAGGAGGACTCGATCCACAGCGCTATAGAGCACAATGGCGGCATGGCACCTCGCAGTTCAGCATGGCGCAGCACAGCACAGCCCTCGGCACGGTACATCAAGATTGATACAGTCAGCATTGCAACTTGGCACGTTCTGTGGCACGTTCCAGGGCGCGTCCAGTGGCGACTCCCCCTGGCACGTCGCGTGTCGCGTCCCTTGGCACGTCCGGTGGCACGTACATTGGCACGTTCCGTAGCGCGTCCCCTTGGCACGTCCCTGCGTCCCCGTAGCACGTCCCCTGGCACGTCGCCTGGCGCGTCCTTTGGGACGCTCCGCGGCGCGTCCTCCTGGCATGTCCCCTTGTCAGTTAGCTCTGGGGCAGCTACAATGTGCTAAGGCAGCTCGAGCTTAAGACCCAGATCAGCCCGGTCAGGACTCGGATGCAAAGGAGGACACGATCGACAACGCTGTAGAGCACAATCGCGGCATGGCACATCGCAATTCAGGACGGCGCAGCATAGCACAGCCCTCGGCACAGTACATCAAGATCGATACAATCAGCGTTGCATTTGCCCGTCGCCCAATCAGGTGTCTTTGAAAACACTGCACGTGTCTATATTCCTTTCCAGGTTCGTGGGTCGATCCTGTTTCAAGGAATTCGGCATGTGCGTGACGACGCGCGCATGTGTGCACTTTGGTTTTTTCCCGGAAAGGGCGTCGGCCCAGGGTTCTCTTTTAGTTT